AGTTGTCAATGATATCGAGTGGGATCAAGATTCAGAATTTTCTCTACTGTGGCTCTCTCAAGTACTCGTTTATCATTCGCCTCAATCTGGATCGCTATGCCGCTACTCATCATTCTTCTCGCAAGTAAAAGAAGTAAGAAGTTAAGGTTCAATTTCAATAACGTTCAATTTTAGCATTTTGCTATATCTCTATTTGGATTGTTAAAAAAACTGATCCACAATGTACACGAAATGATGTTGGAGTTGCGGTGTTAAAAAGCTGCAGCAGTGGCAGCAAATGGAAAGAAGTGATGACTGCACAGTAGTAGCAAAGTGACAACAGTATGGAGCTGCACATGGGCTACCAAAAATGGCAGTAAACTTCATCATTTTAGTCAATGTTTTAGGTAATCAATAATTATTGTATTAAGTAGAAAAATATTATTGCTTTATGTATGGCCTTCCTTGATAAAAAGGAAGGAAGAAATTGCATGAAAATTGAGAGAAAGAGAAAGCATGGTTTCTCCTCTCCGGTTGGGTGAATGCCTACACCCTTCTATGTTTATAGCTTTATGTTCTATGTTATGTTGTATTGTTTTTGTTATAAATAGCAGAATATGAATGGAAGAAAATGAGTTTTAATCTCACCAAAAAAAGGGAACTCTGGTTGACTCCCCTCCTTCTCTCAAGTCCCCTCGCAATCACCCCTTTTTACCACCAAAAATCCAACAAATAAGCTCAAATTGCGGATCCAAAACATCTTTTGTAATGTTAAAAACGGTTTTATTTCCTATTAACTTTTACCTAAATTTTACACACACCTTTAGACGAATGTTTCTTGTATAATTAATTATAAGAACACTCTTAATATTAACTTGGTGTATATAAAATCTAGATTTTAAATTTAATTTATAAAATAACACTTATTTAATAATAAATATAATTTCTAGAGTTACATAGTGAATGCTATGCTAATTGACAAAATATTCAAATCCACCCCCAAAGTATAGTGGTAGGGACGGATCCACTTTTGAACAAAAAACGAGATCAAATCCACCCATAAAGTTTTCAACTTGGATAAATCACCTCAAATTTAACGTATGACATCATCTAACATCAGCAATCCGTTAATTTATTAATGGATTGTTAATGTCAGATGATATCAAATTAATAAATTATTGATATCAGATGACATCACATGTTAAATTTGAAGTGATTTATCTAAGTCGGTAACTTTGTGGGTGAATTTATCTCTATTTTTTGTTTGGGGTGGATTCATCCCTACCACTATACTTTGAAGGTGGATTTAGATATTTTGCCATGCTAATTAACTATTTTACATTTTTCATGAGATGTGCATGGAGGTGATGGAACATATCTAATATTATATTTGTGGTTTTATTTCTCTTGAGAAATCTCTAGTTTTTCAAGTTTTAAATATTAATACTTTTATGGTCAATGTTAATAATGATTAATCAAAATTTGTGTGCATCTTCAATTTCATTATTTTAGAATGTTGGTACATGTTACATGATTCTAACAAACATATATTAATACATGACTTTAAATACATGTGGCTCATTATTGAATTTAGTTGTCTCTCTTTATGGTGGAATTAATAAAAGAAAATTTTATTTAATTGAGGGAAAAAAGAGTTATAGAGAGCTCAGAAATGAAATGTTGGAGGAAATTCAAAAATTATTGATAGAAGAGAGATCTGGAATTAGGTTTAGATAAAAACAAAAAAAGTTTAAAATAAAACGAAAAAGACTCAAGCAGGAGGATAAAAATTAAAAGTAACAAATAATTCTATCATAAACTCATTGGGCTTGGCCGATCAAAAGAAATAGCTCATTGGGCTTGGCCAATCAAAAGAATATAAGCTCATTGAGCTTAATATGATGAAATTTATAAACTCTTACTCATTATTAAATTATCCAAAGAAGAACATTCGTTCTTTAAAATTGAAGCATTTTAAATTAAGGCATTTGAAATTGTAAAAATTTGCAAATAATAATGGGCTTATGTCAATAGTTATCCTCACTATTAAATATAGTAAAAAAAAATTTGATTCTGATACACGTTTTTCAACTTAGAAAAAAAGGAAAAAAAAAATTTGTCTCCTTCCAATTATGGATTTAAATTATTTAAACATTATTTCAATTGTAATTTAAGAAAATAAATAATTAACTGTCTATGCATTCAGTCTAATGCGGCTATGACTGCATCAACAACCTCTT